GATTTTTTAAGTTTTTACTATATGCATATAGGGCAAATGAATGACCCCCCGGGGCCGGGCCAATTTAGACCCCAGGGCTTTAATTTGAACAAACTTGGTAGACATTCACTAGAAGATGTTTCATGCCAAATATCTTAGCTCTAGCGTTTTCGGTTCTTTAAAAGAAGAATTTTTAAGTTTTTACTATATGCATATAGGGAAAATCAATGACCCCCTGGGGCGGGGCCAATTTTGACCCCAGGGATTTCATTTGAACAAACTTCGTAGACACTCACTAGCAGATGTTTCATGCCAAATATCTAAGCTCTAGCTCTTAGGGTTTTTTAAAAGAGGATATTTAAAGTTTTTTCTTTTGGTTGCCATGGCAACCAGAGTTTTGCATGGAATTTAATTCTTTGAACAACTTTTAAAGGTGACCACCAAAGGAACATTCCTGTGAAGTTTGGATGAAATTGGCTTAGTGGTTTATGAGGAGATGTCATTTAAAGTAAAAGTTTACGGACGGACGCCAGACGAAAAGCGACCTTTTACAAAAGCTCATCCTGTCACAAAAAGGCATAATTCTGTCAAAATTCTTCAACATATCAGGCATGAAAAGGAAATAATTATTTAAAAACTGATTGATGCAATGGATGTATGTTACAAAGATGAATTGTGGAGATTTGTCAATTTATTAAAAATTTGCACTTAATAGGAAAATTTATGGTAGTTTCGGTGAATTACCGGTTCGGCGAACTTCATATATGTAGAGGTGCGAAAGTGGTTTCCTCGGTATTATATTATATAGTGAACAAGCAATTATCATAGTATTGCAAGCAATCCATAAGTCCCCTACCGGTAAGAGCCCAAGCAACATTCTGAAGGGCATTGGCCATTCACTTATGTTCCTATTTTGAGTAAATTTGTTAAAAAAGTTATTTAAAAGTAATCACAGGAAACAGTTTTTATGTACAGACAGACAGACAGACTGAAGGACACTCTAAAGTTATTTTTTAAACATCCCTGTTATCAAAATATAACATTTTTAAAATCCTATCATGATTGAAGAAGTTGGAGTAAAAATTACCAATTTCTCAAAAAAAGAGACTAAGTTCAAAAGGGGCATAATTCTGGAAATAGTCTTGCTAGAGTATTGAACAGTCACAAATGTTGAGTGATAATAAGAAACATTTATATGAAGTTTGAAGTAGATACATTCAAAAAAAGAAGTTATTAAAAAAAAAAACAATGTTTTTTTCATGAAAATTTTAAGTTCAAGGGAGGTAATTCTGATAAATTTTGTGCTAGAGTTGTAAACCTTGTCACATATGATGTGGTTGATGACAAGCAACTTATATTTAAAGTTTGAAGAAAATACCTTAAGAAATAAAGAACTTATAGTGAAAAAACTTAAAAACTAGAATCAGAAATCTTGAAATTCAGTCTATTTGTTGCCATAGCAACCAGAATTTTCAACATAGGTCAACCCATATGTCAAGTTTCATAAACATATTTTCAGTACTTTTTGTGTTATCACTGGATCCAGGTTATGTGTAAAATTTGCCATATTTTCAGTCTATTTGTTGCCATAGCAACCAGAATTTTCAACATAGGAAGAAAAGAGAAAGATGTGCATAATCTCCATACTGCCATCTATCCATATATTAAGTTTCACAAAAATATTTTCAGTACTTTTTGCGCTATCGCGGGATCCAGGTTATGTGTAAAATTTGCCATATTTTCAGTCTATTTGTTGCCATAGCAACCAGAATTTTCAACATAGGAAGAAAAGAAAAAGACGTGCATAATCTCCATACTGCCATCTATCCATATATCAAGTTTCATTAAAATATTTTTAGTACTTTTCGCGTTATCGCGGGATCCAGTTTTGTGGACGGACGGACTGACGGACGGACAGACGGACGGACGGATGGAGGGTAAACCTAAAGTCCCCTCCGGTAAACCGGTAGAAGTTATTAAAAAAAAAAAACAATGTTTTTTTCATGAAAATTTTAAGTTCAGGGAGGTAATTCTGATAAATTTTGTGCTAGAGTTGTAAACCTTGTCACATATGATGTGGTTGATGACAAGCAACTTATATTTAAAGTTTGAAGAAAATACCTTAAGAAATAAAGAACTTATAGTGAAATAACTTAAAAACTAGAATCAGAAATCTTGAAATTCAGTCTATTTGTTGCCATAGCAACCAGAATTTTCAACATAGGAAGATAAGAAAAGGATGTGCATAATTTCCATACTGCCATCTACCCATATGTCAAGTTTCATAAACATATTTTCAGTACTTTTTGTGTTATCACTGGATCCAGGTTATGTGTAAAATTTGCCATATTTTCAGTCTATTTGTTGCCTTAGCAACCAGAATTTTCAACATAGGAAGAAAAGAAAAAGATGTGCATAATCTCCATACTGCCATCTATCCATATATTAAGTTTCATAAAAATGTTTTCAGTACTTTTTGTGTTATCACTGGATCCAGTTTATGTATTGAATTTGCCATATTTTCAGTCCATTTGTTGCCAAAGCAACCAGAATTTTCAACATAAGAAAAAAAAAGAAAAAGACGTGCATAATCTTCATATTGCAATCTATCCATATATCAAGTTTCATAAAAATATTTTCAGTACTTTTCGCGTTATTGCAGGATCCATTTTTTTGTACAGAGGGACTGACTGACGGACGGACGGACGGACTGACTGACAGACAGACGGAGGGTAAACCTAAAGTCCCCTCCGGTAAACCTGTAGGGGACTAATTAGTAATCGAAGGCAACATGTACTTGGTTCATTGATAATAGAGTTTTTACCATCAATATTTTGTTTTACCTGAATTATGGCGCAAACTGATGCTAGAATTAACAGAGTTGCTATTGTTCTACTCAAGCGAAAGACTGTAATCAAATTTCCTGTGTATAATATTTAAAAATACAACAATTTGCTATAAGATAGGAAAGGCTTTATTGTAAAAAGTAAATGCATACATTTTTGTAATATTATATACAGTGAATATCTATATATTAATATAAGGTATGTATGATGAACAAACAAAACTTAATCCAATATTATACAAGGGTCACAATTGTACCAGATATAAGAAAGATCTTTTACATTATAATATAAATCTTATATAGTTAGTAAAAAAAAAATAAAAAAAAAATAAAAAACTTATATCAAAACATTAAGTAAATGAAACATTCATAATAAAACTTTTTGGGGTAAATATTTTGCACTACAATCCACCAAAATTTGAAAAAAAAAATTTTGAACAGTTTTTTATAAACTGCTTATCATTTCTTTATTGTGATAGTCTTTTTCCTTTAATATCATTATCATGATGAAATAATGAAGGCACATAACATTAGTACATAAATTTTGTTTCTCAAAAATTTCTGAATTTGAGGCAAAATTTAAAAAAAGAAATATGAATCTTGGTACAAAATACATTTAATTATCATTTTTGATTGAAATAGTAAAATATTAAATCCAATGGGCAATTAACTAGGAATATATAACTATAATAGTGTTGTTACTTCTAAAATAGTAGTGAAAATATAACTTTACTATATAAACTAAGTATATTTATCGAAATAATATCTAAACACATGTAACACTGATATGCCTAGATTACCTGTTTACTTTGCTATAAATATGTTTATTTGCTATTTCACATGTCATGAGTCTCCTATACACTAATTATTTTATTTGGATATGTTCGTCATTATCCAATACTTAACACTTGTTAACTTAATATGCAGCCATTATTCACTGTAATTTTTATAAAATGATACTTATGTTGTTTACTTCATGTAAACCTAAGACGGAAATAAAAAGTTAAAAAGTTAAAAAAAAATCAATCATAGCACAATCCACATTGCTCAGTGCCCACAGTATAATTCAAGCAAAACAGTAAAAACAGCATGATTCTACAAATATGATCGGCAGAGTTACCTGCCCTTTAAAGTGATCAAGTATAATTTCAAGATAAAGTGAATATCTGTGATTCTTTTAGTGAAAAGTAGGAAAAATATTCTACCTCAAAAAGGGGAAATAAGTTAGCAAAATGCACTCAAGATATTGTAAACATCCCAATTTTCATTATGAACAAGTATTCTCAAAGGTTAAATTGAATATTTTTCATAGATTTGGAGAAATGTACCTTAGGAAAAAAATGTTTATGAAAAAATTGTAAGCCAAAAAATGGTGTTAACTGACAATAATGAATAGTAAGTTTACCTGCCCTTTGAAATACATACCAATTTTGAACAATATAAAACATGATCATGAAACATTCATCACGAAACACATTATAAAGCATTTTTCATCATAAAACATTTATCATAAAACACATTATGAAATATTCATCATAAAATATTCATCATAAAACCACATTTTAAAGCATTTTCATCATAAAACACATTCCAAAGCATTCATCATAAAACATGCATGATAAGTTTAAAACAATAAAGTGGCCTAAATAATCATTCAGTAATAGGTGAGACACTTCTGATGTAAGTAAATCCATACAATGTAAAGTATAACTTCATAAGTTTCTAGACAAAAAGATCAGTCATTCTAACATGAATAGTATTTTTACCTATGGAACATAAAAGAACTGAAAGTGTGTGTAAATATTCAATAAAACCACTGTTGACGATCTATATTTAGACTGATCTATATTTAGACTCGTGATATGAGCCACGCCATACAAAACCAACATAGTGCGTTTCCGACCAGCATGTATCCAGACCAGCCTGCACATCTGCGCAGTTTGATCAGGATCCATGCGGTTCGCTTACCAAACCTATTGCAAGTAGAGAAACTGATAGCGAACAGTATGGATCCTAATCAGACTGTGCGGATGCCCATGCTGGTCTGGATCCATGCTGGTCGCAAACACACTAAGTTGGTTTTGTCATGGCGCAGCTCATATATTCCTCACATCCAAATAGTTACTTTATTTAGCAATAAAATCACTGTTGGGTATACATTGTATCATTTCTTAAGTAAGCGATCTGGTATATAATTGTCATGTAATGGAAGTCGATTGTTAAATATAATATTTTTCAAACTAACTGAAAATTTGAAAATTCATTTTGAAAATCAGTTAGTAGTAGTCAATGGTTACAAGTAAAAAAAGTTTGATAGTGCCGTTGCTTCAAAATTGAGCTATAAAGTAATATATAGGTTTAACACAAGTTTGCATACAGGCATTCTATAAAACTATTTAACTCCCATTCTATCAATATTGGTCCATATATAAGAAGTGATATTAGCATAAGCTTACATAATGCATACTAATGTTTATATATAATAATATCCCATGATCAGGTCTTTATATTATTTTACTGATCTGCCCCTCTAAAGCTTGACAAAGCCTACAGGCTGATAACAATATTGCATCTTTAGGCATATCCTAAAAATTTAATAAAGAGTCCGCATTAATTTTAATATAAAACCTCTTGGAAATATATTTACTCACCAAACAACATTACCGTATGTATTAATTACATATAATATCATAGCATCAAAAATATCACTTAATTAACTTTACAATAGTCAATTGAGATTATATATGATCAGGAGTAATCAAAAACATAGTCAGCTGAATGGTTTATAATAAAATATAAATAACCTTCCATAACAAAGTTTCCAGAATAAATATGATTCATTGTTGGATAATATCCCTGAATAATTTACATATTACATAAGAAATAACATAATAATATGTTTATCAGATCTAAAGTAACAGATGTGCTAACAATTATAAGAAATACAAAATTATTTGTTCTTCTTAAAATTTTCTATCTTTATCCTCTTCATCATTCATTGAGAAAAAACTATATGCGTTTAAAGAAATGTGCTATCAAGTTAGGTAATTATAAAAAGTATTATGACAGTCACTGTAATGAACCCATTACAACCTACAGGTATCTAGATTGAAAGCAAAAATTTTACCTTTTAAATGCATAAATACATGTATTAAATATATAAAAAATTAGGTAATTGCATATAAGTATTTGTAAACTTAAACAATATGTGATCTTCAGTTCCAAAATGTTTACATAAATTTTACATGTATAACATAACTCTTTTTTGTAAAAGATATGTTAAGAGTCATTCAAGAGTTACTCCCCTTTGTGAAACTTTTTCGCAACATTATTAAAATGTAACATTCAAATGAAAATATATTTTAATCATATTTGATTGACAATTAACAATGAGACAAAACAAAGCTCTGAATTTTAACTAGGAATGACTATTACCTATTTATATTATTGCTCGCTTCTACAAATCAATAAATTGAATTAAAAAGCTTGGTCTAAGTATGTTTTGCATATTCAAAGTTGTACACAAATTGTTAAAATTTTGGTGTGGTCTTAAAAAGTAATTAACTGTGTAAAAATCAAGTACATGTAATTGAGATTCTGAGTAGAATTCATAGTAAAATACCTGAAAAAAACTAAGGTTAATCACAATTGTTTGTGTAAGAAACTATTTTTTTTGTAACAGTTAATGCATATTTAAGAATACTGGTACCTCAGAAAAACCAGCAGACAGGGCAATATGTTCTTTGTTCTGCATAAAATGAAATAATTGGACTTTACAACTTGGAAAATTTTAAAAAAGATTCTTCTATAATAAAAGTAATAATGTAGTTTTACCATAAAAAACTAACACATATGAATGACATACAAAGACACAAACCCTGTATCCCATATAATGTACAACAAATCATTTATAGATGTAAATGTAAAATGTACATACAATATAAAAAAAATCAGTTGCATATATATATAGTAAAAAGATAACATAAAAATCAAATCAGTAGTTAAGTTAGAAAAACTACATACAAAAATAGTTATCTGGAAAGAAAAACAACACAAAAAAATTTCCACAAAAATATACAATTCATTTCTTGATGTCTTGGATATGGAATGTTCTTTCAGCAAACGTCTTTAGTACAGTATATTATTATCTCAATGTATCCCTGATATCTGAAAATGAAAATAATCAATTAATCAATCAATCAATCAAACAAACTTTTATCTAAAACAAAAAAAAATCTTGAGCAAAAACATTAAACTTAAGCATACATCATTCATATGAGAAATGTGTCCAGTCACAGTAATAAATTTGGGTATTCTCCCTTTATCAATACTACTTAATTAAAGCATTAATGCAAAAAGATATAAAAAGTGTATGAGGGTGTGATTAAACAAAATAAAATTATTTACAATCTGTACAAATAAAGTAAAAAACTGATAAATTCATTATACACATTTTATGAAGGATCATCCTCAATGCTAGCATGTTTAACCTTGCGATAATGCAAAAAAGATTTAAACTGTGTGCTTTCAGTACAGTATTTTTTGTCAATAATAGACCCTTTTTAGGCCATATGGAAGGCATTTACTGGCCATGACGTGACAAATCAAATTTGCAGTAGGGTGATGCCAATAGCAAAGCCAAAAGTATGGGTAAAAGAAACTGTCCTTTACAAAATGGGTCTAAATATCTGAAAATTACAGATGAAAATATTCCACTGTTTGATTTTTTTCTTAATTTCTACTTTAATCAGTAGTATGTGAACATTAACACTGGTTTAATTTTAAATCATTTTAATGAGACAAAAGTTTAAACAAGTAATAATTATAACAGTTACAACAACAGACCTTTCCTATCTGTTAAAAGCCACAAAATGCTTTAACCTTTACCTCACTTATATCTTACAGACTTGTCCACCTCTCAGTCTGGACAAAACTAATCAACATTTTTAGAAACAAATCCAAAATATGAACTGACTGATTAATCAGTTGTACAAACCATGATCAGATGGCTTGGTTTATGCTACCTGACCATGGTCTCCACTGGTAGAATCAGCTGCCACAACAATAGGCTAGGTATTAATCAAAAGGCTTTGTTTGTTTGTCTTTACGGCGCAACAACACAATTGGGGTCATGTGGCCCCAAAACTGGAAAGATGATTTCGGCTAACCTTGATTGTTACAAACAGCAATAGCACTATTAGCAGGGGCCAATTACCCCCTCACCTGTGGAAAAGACTCCATTAATCATGCAGGGATAAATGGTGGCTGCAGTTCTGATGCCTTAACCCCCTCAGCTACAAGGGGTTCAAAAGATTTTCTAGCAGCTATGAATTTTCTATGCCACCAGAATAAAGCCAGTCCAGTCTGCAGTTTGACCAAGTCCTATAATGCCAACTCCTCCATATTATCATTCTAATATATACATCTATCAAACTTGGACAAGTCCTAATTCAATCTGGTCAGCTCCATTACATACATTAGGAAATACAAATACAAGGGTCAAATTAACTCGAGACAAGTTTAATACATACAAAGCCAATTATAATGAATTTATAGAAAATTATGGCTCATTATAGAAAATGTAGCTCAAACAAGATGTTGAGAACACTTTTGTCACAACATACTTGACTTAACACTTGAGAAACTTATTGACATTGTTTTCTTACATTGCTCTTATTCATTATGGTAATAAACCATAAATGTCCATATAAACAAGTACTTAAAGGCACATTAGGCCTAAGAAATAAATATTTATGTCTTAAGAAAGGGCAAGCATGATTTTTATAATGTTTAAATAATGGTTTTAGAGAATATTAGAGAAGAAAGTAGTGATAAATGTAAAACAAGTACGTAAAAACAGCATTTGATTCCCGAAACTTTTGACACATGAGGGATCTGTATCAATCCTATACTGTCTTCTAAGAGACTTTTTTTTATAGTTTGTTTTATACAATTTTGATAAACTGTTATTGTAACTAAATGCCTAACTGTATTTAAGCATTAACACTACTTCTGTAACTGTCACAGTAGTGAACTGTTCACTTTATTAGAGGAGAAATTATGTTTAAGTGACTGGATAGCTCAGTCAGTATAGCCATGGTATGGTATTTCAAGGGCCTCGGGTTCAAATCCAGGTCTGACTGCATATTTTTCTGACACTGTGACATAACAATACTGACCTTAATGAAAACACATAACTTACCATGATCTTCACATTAGAATCATTCTATTGAAAATTCTAGCTTCAGACAAACAACCTCTGCTCCACCCTTAGTAACATTGGCCTCAACTTGATATTCACCAGTTGGTATAATAGTGGCTGTTATATCAAATGTTGCTTCTGACAGATTGTACTCTTTCTGTACAAAATATATATTACACATTGTTATCATTTATATCAAATGATTAATGCAAGGTGTCCACTAGCCAATTTGTTTCCCTCGTCACATGTGAGAGTCCCTGAGCAAAAAGTCCTTGAAGGCACTAAAATTTTTACAATTTCCTACTTCTATGAACACACTTGACAGAGTATCTTGGACACAAAATATAATAACCACTTTATGTGACTTAATAATTATAAGGACCACTTTTGGACTAGATATAATGAATACTTTATGGAATTAACTTTTAGTGAAACAAATTAAGTGGTTCAAAAAATAATATATATCAGAATACCAATGGTAATGGTTATAATAATATTCATGTTTCTATTGTTAATAATAAAAGACTGACAACAATACATGTAGCTAAAACATAATATGAAATCTTTAAGATATCTTACAGAAATCTACATTTTTTATGTGAGGCAACAGATCAGGGTTGGAAAATCCCACTCATCTGCTTGTACTTAACGAGTAGACATTGATGCAGGACAAGAACAAAATTGTTGTATGCTCATCTTACAGGACAAGTGAAAATTTGCCAATGTAATAGAAAGCTAGAATTCCTAAAATCACTTTGTTTACATTTAAGTTAACAATGGAAAACTGGAAGTTTTAGGCTATGTATAATTTGCACACTTTATAAAGCACTGAACGCATTATCTATTAGATACAGACAGGTGTGACTGGAATGTATCTGACAATGCTCTATAAAGTGCATGATTTATACATAACCTAAAATACACGCTTTGTTTCCGGTTTTGGTTTCTTATGTAAAGAAATTGATTATTAAAATTTTTAGCGGTCTTTTGCGTCGGCGAAGTTTATCTTGAAAATCAAGGCAAAAATACAGGACAAGTAGCAATGCATTGCAGGACAAGTAGAAATTTGAAGCCACACTTCCTGCAGGAAATGTGGCTCTGAAAAGAATTTTCGATCCCTGCATATGTGCCAATAAAAGCAACCAATTTGGCAAAGGGTCAACGGGGATAGTGCAGGTTGAAAGCAGCATTTCAACCGATGACATGGATCACGTCGACGCCGATCTGTTAATAATGAAAACACTGATAACGATATATCAACAAAACTGGGCTTACTTTTGCAAAAGGACATGTACAATCTATACCAATATCTTTCAGTTCTTGCGGGCATTGACCAGCAGCTCCAGACTGTGACAGTATTTCACAAATATCATCATACGTACAAGATCCAAAGTTGTCAATGCATGGTATAGTTATGAAAAACCCAAGCTCCTTTTTCTTCATTTCCAACTTTACCTATAATTAGAAATAAAGTGTTTATATTTGGTTCCAGAAGGTTTAGGGTTAAACCTGAATATAACTTGTACATCATCAACATTTCCTATGATTAATAGACAGCGACTTTCTTTCTTATATTTTACAGCCAAATATAGGCCGTTTCCCCAAGCAAGAAATAGGAATATTTTCCCCTGAAATGCCCTGAGCACATTCTTCAATAGAACCATGATTTAACACTGCTGCTAACTTAAACATGTATCAACTTGTTGATAAATTCAATTGATTGAAAGACAGAAAGCTCTCCATACAGTGACCTCTGCTGTGTACTTAGAATGATAAATTGAAGTGAAATTGACAGTTTCAAAAAGTGTGTATTTTAATTCAATTCCCACTTGTTGAATTTGATTTTCAGGCTTTTCCCTTTTCCAATTTATAATGTTACTGTTTATTTACCCGTTCAGAAAGCCACAGATTATTTTGAAAATTTAAAAAAAAATATCTTTGAGTGAATGATTATAAAGCTGTTACCTGCAATGGTTGAGATAGGCTTTGTTTGACATTGACGTCTGCTGACACGACAAGATTTCCAGGAAACTGAAGAGGATCGGGAGTGATGCTCAGACTCTTCACGTTCACTAAAGGAGCCGATGTACTGCAGTCTTTCCATGAAAATGACTTTAGCTTTCTTGGTCCTTCAGATTGTGACTGACCCTGTAAATGTTAAATGAAATATATGTATAAAGTTGTATCATTCATTTATTCTGAATACCATTTTGCTTTATCATTTCTGTCAATACATTCATTGAATGTACTACAGACTTCAAACCACAAAGTGTGATATAGTATGAAAAAGGATAAAAGTTTTTAAGCTATAACATGATATTAATATCTTTAATAAATTTTTCCTTTAATCATGTCATACATGTAGAAATATTATATAAATTAAGATGCAATGGATAAATTCAACAAAGCATTATTACAAAATAATTGAATGATCAATATTGAAAAAGGAAGATAAATTCATTTTTAGAGACAAAAAATGCATTTTAATAACAATTTGAGTAGATTATGAAATTGTGTGTGTAATTATATTTATAGACTTAAATAAAAACACACTCAATTGGAGAGGAGCATATACATAGGGTTTGAAGTCTACATTGCAAGTATTTGTCCTAACCTTACATGAATTATTGATCCTTGGCACAGTATTATAAGAAGAGATTGTATATATTCATTACAGAATTTAGCATTATAATTTAATTATTGTTATCGAGTTAAAAAAATGTAGATTTCAAAAGTTCTGTAAGCATCAATTAACACTTTTACATGTCTTTATTCCCAAATGTGTAAGACACACGAAAGGAACACGTGAAATGTGCTCATGAAAAAAATCTAAATAACATGAGATTTGATTTAATAATACAAACAAGAACGTGTTTGTTAAACACAAATGCCCCCGGCTCAGATTCTTGTCAGTAGCAATATTTCAAAAAATATTTACCCATTCACTCAGTTATGGACAGAAAAATTGCCAAAAAAATTGTAAACACAAGTTATATAGCTTGACAAAGTTATGGCATTTTGTAATTGTGAAAAATATAAGTTGCCAAGTGATTGCTCTGAATTGTGAAGTTGAAAAATACTCAACTTCATGCAAGTTATCTTCCTACCAAATATGAAATACATCTGTCATTAAATAAAGGCTGTATGGGCAAAAGTGTAAAAATCTATTTTGAGCACTGGTGACCTTAACCAAACTGACCCCTAACTCTATCCAAAAGAAGAATACCATGTAAGTTATCTTCCTACCAAATATGAAATACATCTGTCAATAAATAAAGGCTGTATGGGCAAAAGTGTAAAAATATATTTTTAGCACTGGTGACCTTAACCAAACTGACCCCTAACTCTATCCAAAAGAAGAATACCACGTAAGTTATCTTCCTACCAAATATGAAATACATCTGTCATTAAATAAAGGCTGTATGGGCAAAAGTGTAAAAATATATTTTGAGCACTGGTGACCTTAACCAAACTGACCCCTAACTCTATCCAAAAGAAGAATACCCTGTAAGTTATCTTCCTACCAAATATGAAACACATCTGTCAATAAATAAAGGATGTATGGGCAAAAGTGTAAAAATCTATTTTTAGCACTGGTGACCTTGACCCAACTGACCCCTTACTCCATACAAAGGAAGAATACCATGCAAGTTATCTTCCTACCAAATATGAAATACATCTGTCAATAAATAAAAGCTGTATGGGCAAAAGTGTAAAAATCTATTTTTAGCACAAGTGACCTTGACCCACTGATCCCTACCCAAATCAAAAGGATGAATACCATGCAAGTTATCTTCCTACCAAATATGAAACACATCTGTCAATAAATAAAGGATGTATGGGCAAAAGTGTAAAAATCTATTTTTAGCACTGGTGACCTTGACCCAACTGATCCCTACCCAAATCAAAAGGATGAATACCATGCAAGTTATCTTCCTACCAAATATAAAATATATCTGTCAATAAATTAAATAAAGGCTGTATGAGCAAATGTGTAAAAATCTATTTTTAGCACTGGTGACCTTGACCCAACTGACCACTAACTTCATCAAAGTTTATGTTTCTATCAATTATAAATAACATCTGTCTATAGAATAAGGTCAATACACCTGTAAAAATGCAAAAATCTATTTTTAACATTGGTGACCTTGACATTGGTAACATTGACCTTGACCCAAATGACCCCTTACTACACCCAAAGAAGGAGGACCTTCCTTGGCATGTTTGTATTCAACTAAGACATCAACTAAAATATAAAGGCTGTATGAGCAAAAATGTTTATATTTATATTTTAAACCAGTGACCTTGACCTTGACCCTAGAGACCGCTTACTCCACAAAAAATTAGAGGACCATCAAAAGTATCCACCTACGAAATATGAAAGATATTATTAAAGAAATTAAGCAATTAGGGAGAAATTTAAGATAAATCCAACTTGCCGAAATAGGTTAACCAGACAAGGCCCTATTTTCAAAGTGAAAAAATGGAAATAACTGGGAAATATGGATGACACAGTTATATTACTTGGCAATATCATGTGCTTTGTATTGATAAGTAAGTGTGCTAATTATAAAGCCATTAGTATAGATAGAACTTAAGATATTTCCAACTTGCCGTTTTAGGTTAACCATTATTCATTTTCTAAGTGCTGAAAAGGGCAATAACTTGGTAAATATGAAAGCCAGAGTTATGAAACTTGCCCAGATCATGTACTTTGTATTGATTAGTAAGTGTGTAAACTTAGAAGCCATTGGTACAGGTAGAACTTAAGAAAAATCAGACTTGCCGTTCTAGGTAAACCTCGTTAGACAGGCGGACGGACAGACGGTTCAATTACTATATGCCCGGGGGCATAAAAAGAAAATATTAGAAATTTTATTTTCATCGCTAATTAGCAGTACATGTAGATTATTGTCATTATTCAAAATTATTTTATTATTTCAAGAGGGAAACAAAATTTTGATCTTATCTTAATATTATTAGATAAATGTCAATCTCAGTTTGATAACAATGTAATATAAACAAAATAAGGGACCAGCAGAACAGAATAGAACTTTTAAGAATTGTACACTTGTACATTCATATCTTATACAATTTTCAAGTTTAAAGTTCATATCAACATATTTATTTATTAAATTATCAGAAATCATTCAAACTAATACAAATTCTTTCTCTGAACAGAGTAGATAAACTAATTTCTAAAATAATCTGTCCAATTTTCATATTTTCAGTTACATTAACATTACCATTACCGGATTGTTTTAATAACTAATACAGGAAATATCAATCAAATATCTTTATTTTCACAATTTCCAACATAAAACTATCAATAGAAATATGTAAACTGTAAAGGTATCAAAATCTGACTTTTTTCCTAAATTTTTCTATTTTTAAAGTCACTAACTTACTGATAAAAATAATTTTTTTTAACTACACAAACAGAAACACTGTCCAGTGCATAAAGGGTCTTCAATATGCATTTTGAAGTGCACATGTGGTGATCATGTAGTGCACATCAAGTGCACTTTTTATAACTTTTAGCGTGCACTCAACTGTATTCATTATTCTCTAAAAGTGATGTGAAAAGTGATTAGAGTATGAATCATGCAATATTTACTTACAAACCATTTGCTGAGATAAAACAGGAAGTAAACAAATATTATGATGCAGGGCAATCATTTTAAGTAGTAATTAAGGAAGTCTTTCGTTTCAAAACAGGAATAATTTATTGTTATTGGGTTTTTTAATTTTTCAATTTATTTCAGTCGCTATTTCAAGGCTGCTGCAATAATAATAACAAAATAATTCTCGATTTTCAGTACACAATTGTTTGAAAAACTTGATTCAACTACATTTAAGTGTGACAATATCCAATTGCATCCTGTCTGCATGTATGGCTGACATTTTAACAGTAACTGTTGTGCCACTACAGGAATAGAATTCCTCCTGCCAAATTTACGTCATTTAAATCATCTTAAAGAAAAAACTTAAACATAAAGGTTTATAAAACATAATCATTAGACATGCACATTAAATATAAGTGAAAATAATGTTTAGTATCATTTTGAGAAAAATAAAAAATTCTCAGTCCAAAATGAAAGTAAATAGGCACAGCAGATTTGTTTCCCTTTAAGTATTTTCATTGGTCCGAGGTTTTCATGTATTGAGAATTTGACATATAGGAAAAAAGGTGCATTATAGTTTCATATAATGATGCTTTGATTGAACAATTATTACAAATAATAATTTAATTTTATCATTATTTAAATACGCAATACAAAGAAAAATTCCTTCACTGTGAATTTAGTATGTTTTACTCGTGAGAGTTTTACCGAAAGAGTGCAATCAGATCTCTTCCGAGTTTCATTTGTTGACAGTTTGGGCTTGAATATTTCTTGCTACGTATTATCAGCGAAGGTGCCAGTGTTGTTTTCTTAAAGAGTATTTGTTTATCTAAGATTTGACACCAAGGTTGTTAAGATTTGTGAAAAATTGATGAATATATGGGCTGATAATTGAGATGCTAGTGATATTTCTATGCAAAACGAAAGTAGAGTAAAATACCTTTATAATTTTTTTGTCATAAAAATTTTTTTTCATAAAATTTATTTTTGTCAATACTTATGATGTTTGGATGGTCAGTTTTAAGGGTTTTGGGTTGTACAGGGAAAAGAGTCAACTCGGCACGGGTCAACTCTGCGGCAGTCTGCCCACTTTACAAAAATATATATAACGTATTAACTTTGCTTTGCATGTTGTTAAGGTAAATGAATAATAAGAAATATCTTATTATTATAATTATAATTATACTTCTGCCGAAATAAAGTATATTTAGAAAAAAATTGTTATTTGTTATATTTATAAACTCTCTCTTTGTCGAACTACGTAAATAACCGAGGTATATCGAGTGAAAAAGCAAGAGTTGTTTCCCTTAGTTTCCCTTTGCTTGCAAAAGAATGCAAATTTAGCCGTGTTTAAATCGTTTGTTTGGGGCGATTAAATGACCACTAAAATTTGTTACACCAATTAAAAGCTGGTGATCTTAGCTTCCTCTCGGTATATATTTCAACACATTGTTTGACACTGAAGGTATTTAAATTTACGGTTAAACCTACCACGAGTCAGAAATACAGTGAGATACGCAATCGGTTATCTTTACTCGCAATTCTTCTGATAAGAAAAGCCTGTCTGCTGCTAGTTCTGAAACTGTCAATCCGTGTTTTATAAATATTTACAATAATAACAATAAATTATTAAATAGTGATAACCCAAAGAGTGAAATAAGAACCCCTAAAGAAAGCCCAACTCGGCAAAATTGAAAATGTTGCAGGCTCAGTTTGATTGAGCCTGTTCATGGACGGTACTGTCAAGTGCAAACTACCGTCCACGCCCCCTAGCCCCGGCTTAAGCAGAATTCAACATTTAACATGATCTGGTGAAATTTAGAATTTTGAAACATCCGCAGATGTGTTCATATGGCAGTTATCATGGAACCTTCAAAGTGACCTTGGTGCCATTCCATGAAAAGCGGCATAATGGTCCCCAAGTAAAAAAATGCGTTTGCCCTAAACGAGAAAACAATGGGCGGAACTACATAAAATGGAATTTTGAAAGGGGATCTGAGGTTTTATTTTAGCCTGCATATCAAAGATATAACGTCAAAAGACAAATTTAAAAAGCAGGCCTCATATCCTAAGGGTGATTCAACAGTATTAAAGTGAGGAATACTGGAACCACCCAACAAGAAAGATGCCGAATAGATAGAACTAAAATACCACAAGCACAACAATAGTGTCGTCACAAACCTAAATATTAATAATTAAAAAGTGGACTGAGTTGACCCGTGCCGAGTTGGAATAGGGTTGAGCTGACTCGTGGGCCGAATACAGTTTAGGGCCGAGCTGACCCGGATTCGTTGTAGAGGGGGAATGGGGGTATAGTGTAAGTCATGTCATGGCCACGCGACGTTCACCTTTGGTATCTTCCATATTTACAGATTGGCATTTTGCAGTGTTTTGTACTTTTAGTTTCTACAACCATAATAGTATCATAACACTATATTTATATATATATATATATATATATATATATATATATATATATATATATATATATATATATAAATAATGTATTGTTTGTTTTGTATGCATGAATTCACTTATTTTGGGTGGACTTTTATCGGAAATTTTATAAACTTGCCAACAACCACCAGCATGAAATTACTATTTGTTTACATGTTTAGTTTCTTAGCGTAGGTTAGACCGCATTCATCCTTATCCGGAGACTGACCGAAAGGGCCGAAAAGTTGCGATTGTACATATTTATCATTATGTAACATTTAATGATTTATACAAACCTTATCCTTTGGAATTTCAAACGAATGTACATAATCCCTCGCCTTTGAAATTTCGTATTCAAAAACATTTGGCAGCGCTTCAACGTTCAATAAAAGAAACGTACACAAAATTAACATCAACATCTTTTCATAAAGAATCGCAAAAAAGTCTTAAACAAAAGAACTAGTGTCTGCTTCCGGTGACTCTCAACTTTGATCATAACAGTAATCGGTTGGACGCTTGGATTTTTACCAAAATACTTGATACATTAATGCATCCATGCCTAACAAACAAAAATCAAAATAAGATCAGTTTTTTTTTCTTTCAAATTATGTCTTATTTATTTGATCAGACAAAAAAAAGATATGAAAAAGATAGAATGTGCGATGATAGAAATTATTTATTATTTTTTACAGGAACAAGCGTCTACTGATATCATGTGATGTAAACAAATAACCGGTTACTACATACGTTTTATACCCGTGTCAATGATCCACTTACTTCCTTGTCGCAAAACGAGAGAATATGGCTGTGATTATGATAAAATCTGTACTTTTGTTTGTCTTTATCGCTGCAAGTTTAGTAACTGGGAAAAGAGTTTACAACATGAAGGTATGTCCACACTATTTGCTTGGACATGTCATGGTGTCCAATTACTTGTTTATCAACTGTTAATTGTGTTTTTCCAAACTTGTGGTTGACCAGGAAGTTTTAGTTGTACAAAAAAAGTATAATTAAGAGATTGAAAACGTCAGAACACAACTCATTTTATTTGTAGAATATCCTTCAAATAAGTCTTTTTTAATGACATGTATTTTTATCATATATATATACTTGATCTTTGACAAAGAGAGAGAAACAAATGGATATAAAATGAAAGAAACAAATCAAATTAGTTTGTGTATTAATTTATGTATTTTAAAAAAATAGTTTCTCATCATGTCATTTATTCTATCTTGGAAATGGGAACAGAAAAACTCATTAAATACAATTTGTAAATTAGTCTGTTTATCCTGGGGCATTTTTGGTCCCATGTTTATCATGGGATACAAACATTTTATCATTTAATTGTTAGTTATCATTTATGTATCTTACTTCTGTTTATTTTTTTCAGATGGGAAAGGATCCTGATAAATTTTATTGGGAGAATTGTAATAAAACTGTTACCCCTCTTGCATTTAGAGTCCTTTCCTTGTCTCCAAACCCAATAAAGTATGGTCAGGACCTTTTGATTACAGCTGAACTTGATGTCACTAAAATCATTGGTACCACACATTCTTTAAAGGTTAGTATATTGGCTATGACAGCCTAAATTCTATAAAAAAATTAAAAAGAAAATCAATCAGATATTAATATTTTTTATTCCTTTCCTTCAAAATTGTGAGGAGCACATATAAATGTATGATTAAGTAAATATTTATAGTTAAATACATTTTAAAACACTAGTCACACTTAAAGAATACAAAAAAACGTTTAGTATCTGTTTGTTAAGTATCACCATTTCATTAATTTAAAATAAATTTAAATATATCTGTATATACAAATGTAGTGTGAAAAAATACAGAAGCCTTCATGAATTATCTGAGTTAAGTGTAAGAAAGAGTAAAGCCTTTCTTGGTACGTAGAAGAATAGACATTTGGAAGTCTAGAATTTCAAATTGTTAGACACTTGAAGTGTTACACACAATACATTTAGTCTATAGAGGTCAGTTTTGAGTTTGCCCTGACACTTTACTGTTGTTTATGTGCCAATGAGTTATTGCCCATGATTGACTTTATATGCCCATGAGTTATTGCCCATGATTGAGTCACTTTACATTCTGAAATGAGCTTTAACATTTCCTTTGCAGGCTGAGGTGACTGCAAATTTAGTTGTTGGAGACCAGAAGTACTCCATGTGTGACTATAAACCAGAGTATTGCCATATTCAGGATGTGTGTAAGGCAATAACTGACCTTAAGCTGCCATGTCCAGCCATTGTGAAGAAAAAAGGGAGCAATTGTGAATGTCCTTTAAAACCTGTAAGTTTAAAAGTTTAAATGACAATTGATATTGAGTTTAATGAAGTGCCTTAAATATGTTTTAGCTTATTATAAATAATAAGTTTATAACCAAAAGGAACTTACAGATTTGCATACATGTAGATACATTTATTGTCTATCTTATATTATATTGTATACCATACTGTTGTCTATATGTCACTAATAAAAGTTAAACATTTAAGTTTTACAAACAAACTGCTTGAGTCACCTTGCTAAAGATTAATTAGAATGTTCTTTTGAGATAAGCATTATTGTAAACATGTGCTATTCCTATGGTCCAATAGAAGTATAGGTAACAGTTCATTTTTTGGCTAGCATTCTACATAATACATGTATCTTATTTGATTATTGAATTTGTAACATCAATATATTTTCATTGGTGAGTACATGTATTAGTAGAAAATCCACCAATATAGGTTTGTAAAGTATTATAGTCATCACTTTTTCAGTCAATCAAGTTAATACATTGTTTACCACTATTCCAGGTTTGTAAAATATTTTTTTTATTACAGAATACTTACTCTGTGAAGCAGATCAAGATACCTGTACCAAATCCAGGAGTGCAACTTGAAGGCCATTATCAGGTCCAAGTAAATCTGTCAGAGAAAAATGAGCAAGTTGGATGTTTCTTTGTTAACTTTTGTCTTGGGTAAGGAAAGCAGATACCTTTTCATCAAAATAATTCTAAACATCTAAAAAAGGAATTTATGTTGTTTTTTTGTACTAAAAGTACTCTTTAACAGAACTTTTTGTGCTTTTTTAAAATATATCAAGATTTATAAGCGTTATATTAGATGTCATAAAAATCTCTGGTAACTGATAAGAGTTTCTCTTGCATGGTATGTAACTTCAAGTGTTGTAACTACAATGATTGTTTGTGGCCTGATCATCTATGTGTTTGCTATTTCAGGTTATATTTGTAGCTTGTTTCAGTTATGTATTGGCTATTTCAGGTGGTCATGTGACTGGATTGTTTCAGTTATTTGTTTGCTATTTCAGGCCATGTGACTAGATTGTTTCAGTTATTTGTTTGCTATTTAAGATCATGTGACTGGATTGTTTCAGTTATTTGTTTGCTATTTCAGACCAAGTGAATGGATTGTTTCAGTTATTTGTTTGCTATTTCAGGCCACATGACTGGATTGTTTCAGTTATTTATTTGCTATTTCAGGCCATGTGACTGGATTGTTTCAGTTATTTGTTTGCTATTTCAAGTCATGTGACTGGATTGTTTCAGTTATTTGTTTGCTACTTCAGGCCACATGACTGGATTGTTTCAGTTATTTGTTTGCTATTTCAGGTCATGTGACTGGATTGTTTCAAGTATTTGTTTGCTACTTCAGGTCATGTGACTGGATTGTTTAAGTTATGTGTTTGCTACTTCAGGCCACATGACTGGATTGTTTAATTTATGTGTTTATGACTTCAGGTCATGGTTTTGCATTGCTTTTGTTATTTTTTTTGTTATTTCTGGCTATTTCAGTTTTGTTATTTGTTATTTCAGGTCATGTTCATCAGATTAAAGGAGGCCTGGTATACTTGATTAGATGATTGAATGCATAATACTTTCCATTCTGAACAACAAAGCAAAAAAGATAACAAAGAAAAAAGAATTATTCAGCAAAGTGAAAATCTGATTAAGATATGCATACATCAAAATAGACAATTCTAAAAAAAAGCACATTCAAGTTATGTTTAAAATATTTGAATGGGAAAAAATGTTTTGATAAGAACTCTTACATACAACTGTTTATATTTTATTTTGTCAACTATGAATTTCATTGTTAAGTTTATTTCAGTCTCATCATTCATTTACTGTATATATGTCATTAGTTATTGCTGCAAACGTTTTAAATTCAAAAAAGGGTTTTCAATTTGTTTTATTATCATTGATTTTAGACCATTCCATTTCCACAATAGATGTGGATAATATCACACTTTATGTGAATGATATTAAATTGTATGTGACTGATCTCGCACAGTATATTAAAAAGTATATGACTGATATCATACTGTGTGTGACTGATGTCACACAGTATGTGACTGATATCACACTGTATGTGAATGATATCACAAGGTATGTGTCTGATATCACACTGTCAGTAATTGATATCACACTGTAATTGACTGATATCATACTGTTTGTGACTGATATCACACTGTATGTGATTGATATCACACTGTGTGTGACTGATATCACACTGTCAGAGACTGTTATCACACTGTCAGTAATTTATATCACACTGTAAGTGACTGATATCATACTGTTTGTGACTGATATCACACTGTAAGTGACTGATATCACACTGTAAGTGACTGATATCACACTGTAAGTGACTGATGTCACACTGTAAGTGACTGATATCACACTGTAAGTGACTGATATCACACTGTAAGTGACTGATGTCACACTGTAAGTGACTGATATCACACTGTAAGTGACTGATATCACACTGCATGTGACTGATATCACATTGTATGTGACTGATATCACACTGTCAGTAACTGATATCACACTGTATGGTATCATATGTTGGTGATATTATTTTGTATATAGAAAATAGGACACTGTTTTTTTAACATTCTTTTATATGCAGGCATAATGTGTTTTTGTTCTTTTTTTTATTTTACTTCTGTATAATAATCAGATGGTGACAAGTATTTTTAAAGTCTCTAATATCTCTTTTCTATTTTCTCCTTGCTTTAATTTAATACTTTTTCAAACCTAATTTTTATTCCCAAAATTTATCTTATCTGAAGATGCAACACTTCCTTAACCATACAATTATGTATTCATCACATGTTTATACACGTGTTTGTTCATTTTTTATACAAGGTGTTCTTTTACATTTAGTTATATAATATATGTTTTTCTTTTATGTACTGATAAGTTTTCTGATTTATTTGATTTTTGGGGGTGTTTTTAGAAGGACAAAATATTTCTTTCCTATGTACTATTGTGATCAAATATCTGTTTTTATTGCATTATACTGGTATGTTTTACCTTTTTACTGGTGTATGTTTACATTTCTATGAGTTTTGTAATGTGATATCTGTCATAGATATCATCTGGGTACTTCTTAAGTCCATATCAACCATAGATATTTAATAGCAATATGAATATATTCGTGGTAATGTTACTGTATAATTTTAGGTGTTGAAAATATCTGTTTTGCTTTCACATATTTCATTTAGATCTGTTTTGGGTTTTTTCAAATAAATTTTTCATTTTCATATGAAGGGTTTAAGTTTTTCTTTGTAAGTATGGTTAGATATTTTCTAACATTTTTGTTTAGTTATGTTTGACGTCGTAACGACACAGAGGGGGTCATATGGCGACTTTCTAAAATGTAGCTTTACTGGTGGAGGAAGACTTCTGACAGGTGCCCCTCGCTGCATTCATGCAGTCATGAACGAACACCTGAGAAGAACGTTTCTTAAGCTTGCTGGGTAGCTTCCTCACAAAATAATCCAAAATTCCCTGAGGGATTCCAACCCTCAGCGGTAAGGGCAAGTGTTTTTTACAAATCAACCTGCTTGAATTTCGTAGAAGTAATAAAGTGTGGTTGATGTTATTGACTTAAAATCACATACCCATAGCTGTTTCAATAGTCCCACCAGAGATACTGTATTCTCAATTTGAGATGCAATCGTAACTTTTCGGCCCTTTCCGTCAGTCTTCGGATGGAGACCCTGCCTAGTAGTGTAAGGGAAGGAACTCCCCCATTCTTAATTCTGCCCAAGTAAGCAATACAGATTGATGCTTGCTCTTGCTTGATATAACGGAGAGAAGGACACCTCCAGTCTTTCTTCACCAGTAAAACTTGTGTGTGGCCATATTAACATTAACTAGTGTTCCCATCGAAAACAGAGACAAAAAGAAAACTAGCATCTTACTATCATGTGATTCTTTTTTCTGGATACCGGTATGTGAAAATATAGTTTCCCTGCAATATGTGAATATGTGTAGCAAAAATCATGAAACGCATGACAAAATCTAGAAATTAATAATGATGAAATTATGAATACATTGTAATTATGTAGAACATACACTGTACATATGGTGTCATTAAACTGTAAATTGATATGACAGAAAGGTTTTGGTAAGCTTTTTATAAAAATACCGGGAGATCAGTCTGCATACTTATCAAACAGCAGAATACTATTGTACTGTACTAGTCAGTTGCAACCTGATCACCATTTCTAGGAAATAACAATGACTGAGTTAATGGATAACAAAATTTCCGCAGTAAAGGTCATGTGCTACGGGGACAATAAGATTATACACGCCCGGTTATATTCACCAGTACTGAGAGTCCGTATAAAGCCACTCACTGATGTTTTGTCGCCAAAGTATAACCACTTCATTGACCCGGCAGTGTGTGGACAGGCAGAATGTAAAAAGTCCACTTATTTCAACCGCTATACCTCAGTCCCGCATTGACCTGTGAGAAAAGACGGAGGAGGGGCTAAACTTGATATGTCCACGTTATATTGAATAAAAAATGAAGTTCTCAGGCATGAAATGAAATGAACTGAGCCGCGTCACGACAAAACAAAAATAATGGGTTTGCGACCAGCATGGATCCAGACCAGCCTGCGCATCCGCGCAGTCTGATCAGGATCAATGCTGTTCGCTTACAAACTCTATAATAAGTAGAGACACTGATAGCGAACAGGATGCGCAGGCTGGTCTGGATCCATGCTGGTCGCAAACTCATTATGTTGGTTTTGTCGTGACGTGGCTCAAATGAATTTATCTCCTACATTATACCCTGTAAACTTCAACATCTAAACAGCGTGTATGCGAAAGATAACTTGTTCAGATTTTTAAATATCAGCTATATAGATTAACTTCCCTGGGGAACATAACCGTTTTATACTAAAACCGTATTTTCTTTTATTTCCTTGCCTGTATATATGTGTTTCTTTGTTTGTTTTCGTGAGAGAGAGAAACAGTATAAATCTTTTGTTAAGTATGAATAACTCAAAACCTACATAAAATCCCCGCAAAGTTAAAAACATTCATTTATCTTCCTTGACTTTTTATTAATTTCCTGTTGTGTATATCTTTTTGTAAAGTGTATTTGCTATTCAGGGTCTTTTCAAATTTCTATTCGAAATACCCTGACTAAACGAATGTTTGTAAACCTAATCAATAGTTAAGTTAATATTGTATAATGGTTTAATATTAATTCTGTTATTGTAATTTATTCATAGATATAAAAAATCATGTACAATGCCGTTAGCAAAGTAAGTAATGCGCATACAAGACATGAAAGATATTATCAGCGTATCATTTTGGCCCTTCCTATTATTCACTAATTTATGTTAATTATACAATTATAAAAATACTCGTATTATCCAACTGCTCATCTGATACATTGTTTAGTTTATAACTGATACTAATCTAATCCTCTGCAATTTGAGGGAACATTTGCCCTTTTTATAATTTATAAATGGGTTTATGTACAATACACAACAAATGGTTGTAAGTTTGCCAACTTAACATTAGCTCTACGATTTAAAATATAACATGGCAATTAGGAATGACCTCAGTCTTTTATTCAACCGATATATAACATCTATAATATCTTAATATCAAATAGATATAATAAAAGTTTTACATTTAGTTAAAAAAATGATATAACACACTTCACATATAATCCATCCTATTCTGTGAGTGTTTGTTTTAAAACGGAAACTGACACTTATTAAATACAGGGGTGTTAGTTATCGAGGTCAGTGATATAATAAAGGATCGTTCAACAAATTTCACAAATTGTTCATCAGTGGCTTGTATTAGATCTAATTAGATGTTCGTAGTATTAATATGCAGATTTTTAGACCTTGACACTATTGAATTTAATGCAAAGGGGAGCGGTGACCTAGTGGTTAAGGTGTCTGCCTCTCAACCCAAGGATCATGGGTTCGAGCCCTAATCGGATCACGACCATATTTCTTCATATGACACCAGTACTGGTTGGTTCCAGGAAGCGGACTAGAAAGTGATTAATATAAGTTGCAAGAACTTGTTTCTCAATCGAGATTAGATAAATATGTTTAAAGCAATGCAAATACCGTTGCTAAGCTAGGCCACTAGCTGTCAAAAGACAGACATTCATGTGTAACCAATGTTGTTGTTTTTGTTTTTTCAAAATCTTTATCTATTTATTAATATTTTATAGACACATATAAAGAAGACAATTGAGTATTTAACCCTTAACCAGCTAGAAATAGAATTAATAACCTTTGCCACTAATTCAGTTCCAGGCCAGCCAGCCGGTCAGTGCCGTCCACGCTCCATACAATTGGGACCTATGTATTTCTTTGTATTTGTAACTGAAATCCCTTAATCTTCGAACAAACTTTAACTATAATAAATAGTTCATAGCTGAATGAGCCTTTTTTTTTGTTGGTGACGTACTGATTATCTGATTTGATTGTATTAACTTTCGGGTGGAAGGTTTCGGTAGTCATTTGCAAACTGGATATTAAAGAAGCAAGATGGTGTCGTCTGTTGTTGGAGTTTGCTTTCTTTTGCTGGTTTTGCTATGGTAATAGGTGATCACGTGCATGAATTCGTGGTATGTGTAGATTTTTTTGCTTTTGCCTTTATTTGTATTATAATAATCGTAAGTCAATTCATTGCACAGCTCTGCAAAAAAATTAAAATCTTATATCAATATAATATTATTGTGTTTTATTGTAGCCATGAATAATATGTTAACAATACAAGGTAACTAAGGTAAATGCGCAAGTGTGTCGTAAATGCGGTTATGTATCATGTTATATTCTTAAACGCTAATAAGAAAAAAAACAGCTAAACGATTTAAACAGCTAAAA